GTATTTATCCGTGACACCTTAAAGGCCGGTCCGTGAAAATATTGTCGGGCATAAACCGTTCCGTGGCGCAAAAAAGGTTGGGGACTGCTGTGCTAAGGGATATTTAACCAAATATACCATAGCTGATATTCATGCCTGTATGTATAATAAAAAAATAATAAAAAACAAACAAACAAACCCTGGGATCCTGGAAGAGCAGTGTGAAGAAGGCCCACGACATCATAAATGACTCCTTTCCAAACCACAAACAATTCACTGTGTTTCCCTCTGGGAGGTGGTACAGGCTCCAATCCCAAACCAGCTTCTTCCACACATCCAATAGACTGCTAAATTCTGGACACTAGCAACACACACAAAGTTTTCTGGTGGTTTTTGTTTTGTGTATACACACACACACACACACACACATACACATTTATTTATTTATTTTGCAAAGGGTTCTCAATATTCTTCTCAGTGCTGCCTAGTTCAGGATTTTAATATGGCAGTGTAGGGGATTGACTCCCTTTTGGAGCCAGCCTTAAGTGGCCTCTAGAGATGTCGTTTCTGGCACTTTGGGATTGGCTTCATTTTTCAGCCCTTGAGGTTGCCACTAGGAAAAATCAGAAATATTTGCAGAAGGAGCTTTTATGCCAATATGCTTTTGTTTGCAGATACAGATATTTGTAATGTAATACATCTTTCTGTACTATTTATTTTGTTTGTATTGTTGTATTTAAATGTTCTTGCTCATATGGGCCTTTGGCTATAGAAAAAACTGCCCTACTACTGTACAGTAGTTGGATCAAATCCATTAAAACCAGTTAACCCACATTGGATTTGTTATAGAAAAATATCAAATATTTGGTGATTGTTGATATCTTTATCCTTTAAAACTATCGTAGAAACATTTGGTTTGGCATACTTTGTCAATGCAGTACTTTTCATTATATTATCCCAGTTAAGTTCATGCACAAAATCATATTGAAATACAACTGACGCTCTTATAAATGTAGACAGTCTAGCAAACATTCTGCCAAAATCTTTGCGGTTGCCTGTGCTGCATAACCCATCCTGTTAAGCGCTGCACATATTTAAACATGCCGTGGGCTGAAGGCTGCTCAAAACAATATAATCATCATAAAAAGGGGGGGAAATTATTTCCATTGATGGAGCCAGATGCGGTTGATTTCATGGCTCCCTGAAATGTATTTTGCTTAGAATCAGCACAATAATCAGACAATTAGGAGGCTGATTGAAGTGAGCCCCAGGAGGTGAAAGTGAAACTACTGGAAAAGATATTCTGACACCCAGTCTGACTTGCTCAGGTACCTCAAACGGTTCACCAGTGCTTTCCCATGTAGGAAAATGTTTTACACTGTCACTGAATTGTATTATTGAGTCAGAAAAATTATTGTGATCCAAGAAACAAACCTTAAAATCTCTAAAACACTTTATTTATGATATTGCTTTACAATTTTCTGCAGGGTTTGGTATAATTTTCTCAGATATAGGCGGAGAGCAGGGGAAGCAGGATTTGGGCGTAGCTACCTATAGAGATGAAAATCATTTCCAAGATTGCAGGTTTAGTGTGTGGTTGAGTATTTATCCTGCTCAGCTTTAATCCAAGACTTTGTACCACACCACTTTTCCTTTCCTTTGACTGCACGGGCTGACATTCAGTATTTCACATTACAACCACTGCACTTAGTGAACATGACCAACAACTATAGTTTAGCTCAATAGTTTGTGTGTAAAGATATTTAATACATGGGGATTAGCCAAGGAGTTCTGAGCACATCTTAATCCACATGGAGGAGAAAAAAAATATTTCTAAAAAAATAATTCAGTGATTATCCTTCAAAGTATGTGACAGTGGTAAGTTGCATTAATATCCTGTTTCAGCATTTCTCTCTAATGTTGACACATGCATTGTAAGAGATAGAAGCACACTTTGAAGTCTGTCAGCTCCTTTATCCTGTTATATATCAAATGCAAGTATTTGTCCTCTTGATAATCCCTGTGAAGCTGCTATTCTGCTGTAACACTTGAATGCTAGACCAACTCTCTGCTGTACGTTAGTATTCAAGACTGTGGAACATTTTATTATGCATGGGGGGAAGAGAAGGGAAACAAAGTACAAACACGTTTTTCCTCCTTGTATTTATTTCCTTTTTTTTAAACATTTTTTGTATTCTTGTACTGTATTTGTTTTTATTCACACTTCATTTATCATTTCATGTTCAAATGGAGAACTTAAGTTTTAATTTAAAAGCAAAAGACATGGGCAGAGGTTTTTAATTAAAAAAAATCCATGCATTATAAATAGTTTAGTATAATATTTGACATTATTACTTGCTTCAAACATGGTTTTTTGTCATAAGCATTTTTTTTTAACTTCCTGTCTTCTCTCACCACTGGTCATGGCAGGTGGCCGCCCCTCCCTGAGTCAGTTTCTGCCGGATGTTTCTTCCTCATAAAAGGGAGTTTTTCCCCTCCCACTGTCGCCAAAGTGCTTGCTCATATGGGTCCATATGATTGTTTATAAAGCACCAAATCACAACAAGAGAAAAACCCAACAGAGTTGAATTGAAAAGTGGAATTGAAATGTCAGTCAGTATGTTCCAATTCTACGTCTGGATGCAGTCAACATGCATTACAGATGCTTTCTGTAAATATGGAGCGGACATGTATCCTGTCAGATGCCTAGTATGCGTGATTAATATCACAAAAAGCTCCTCACAACACTTGCTCTCTCTTGTTTGTTTTTCGCCCACTTTGCACTAGAGAGAGGAAACCAGCGGCTGAACAACAGCAGCACGTTTAACCTTGATAAGCTGTTGTTAGATTTTTTTTTTTTTTAGTATTACTTTATATACCAGGATCTTTTTCTACGCAGCTGACGGCTGGTAACTGGGCAGGGGCGGATCTAGCAAAGTTTTGACAGGGGGCCAGGTGGGGCATTAACAGGGAAGAGGGGGGCACAAAGACAGACTTTTCTTTCTTATTCTAATTTAAAATGTCTAGCTTTTAATGAATAATTATCTGAATCTTACACCCAAAGTTTTAATCTGATGTAAAATGTATAGAAGTCCATTACTGTATATAGTAACTGTTAAGTCTAATATACCCTAGTAAGCTATAGTACTTTTTCCTTTGGGAAGATACCATCTGTGCAGTCTGCAATTCTGTAGAAGAAAGATGATGAATCTATTTAATTATTCTTGAAAAATAATTTAATTCTGTGCAATTTTTTTTTTCACACTGCATCAAATTAAAGTTGATTACGTCGATTAAGCATCATGAGGTGGTTCCCTATTTTTTTTTTTTTTTTTTGCTGGGAGTTTGCAACCATAATAGTTAGAAATATAAAGCAACCTAAGTAATCTTTACAATACCAGAATAGGAAGGATGGAGTAGGTTTAAGTTTATTAGATTGATCAGTATTGCTTAACTAAGAAATATTTTGGGTGCAGTGTATTGTTTTACATACAGGTATAACAGAATAGCTTTAGTGTTGTTGTTTATTTAAAATTGAGTATGAACTTATACAAAATGCAGCAAGATATTAACTCATTCACTGCCATTGACGTCTATAGCCGTCAATTGCAGTGAATGAGTCAATGGGTTTAACTCATTCACTGCCAATGGCTGGCAGTGAATGAGTTAAAAAAAAAAACCACTATATCGGATTCATATTGGTATCAGCAGATATCCAAATTTATGATATCGGTATCGGACATAAGTGTTATCGTGCCATCTCTACTCTAAACATGATTTACAAAAATGGTGCAAACTTGTCCATGACAAGGTGTTTTGTTTTGGCCTAAGGTAATTTCAACATTTGTGTTCATTTAAGTTGGTAACAGCGGACAGCTCTCCAGCTAAGTACTTTTAGCTTTGCGCATTACAAGGAAAAGAAAAAACCCAACAAAACTCATTATGCGTCTCTGTGTCTTTACAGTTATACCTACTACTAATGCACAATTTTTCCTCCTCCTGTGTCCCTGTGCAGTAGAATCACATATCAGACACTGAAGTTGGACATTTTTCTTTAGTTGTGGCATCAAACTGAAGGGCATTTCAGAATAGCAAGGTCACATTGAAAAATTTCCTCAGCAAAAAACAAAAAAAACAAAAAGGAAAATGAGCAGTCAATACTGATGTCATGCTTCAGCAGCAGTTAAATAGCACATCTAGCTTTAAAATACACCCCAGAAATCAGACAGTTCACTCACTCATACCTCCTCCTTAAAGGCCGCTGAGTTGCAGGTGCGCCTGTAATGCACATTCTTTTTAAAGGGAATTCAGGGACTGACTGCGCTTCACTTGAATGCACACTAAGAGAAATCCAGCAGTGCTTGCAGTTATTTTTTACTACTTTAATTCCATCTTCGATACTGTATATAATTTTGATTTAGGAAAAATATTCCTTCTCCCCGTTTCCATTCCACTGCCATCTGAAAATCACCTTCTGCCTTACGTCTGAGTGGCTTGATGTCTGTCCTTTTCATTATAAATGTGTTTCTTCCTGCCACATTTATTATTCACTGTGCATGTGGCACAGTCTTCAGCCTCACAGTACGCCTTAGCTGTATTTAAAACATCCACATTAAAAAAATAAAGCTAAAGCTAATAAAGGTTTTAATAAAAAGGTTTTAAAGTCCTCGTTTGGGTCACTGTTGCGATCCATGAATCCAACCTTACAGGGCAGGATCAGTCACCAAGCGCTCTGACCTCATAGGCACGGACAACCTTATTAACAACACTGTTACTCAACAAGTCAGAAGTTGTTTTGTTATCTGCATAATGGCAAAATTGGCTGCAATACTGAAGCAGGATTTCTTGCTGCTTTTTTTGTTTTTGTTTATCACAGTCAGCCAGTTTGAAGTGGGCATCCTCATCTGTAAGGATTTACGAGCCGCAATTTAATTGGAGGGAATTAGTGAACATTTAGCTTCTAATATCCATCAAATTAATCTCTAACTCTGTGTTTCTCTTCCCTCTTCTCCCTCTCCCAGGAAATCCAGAATGGCTTCCGGGATTAACCTCTGCTCTTCATAGATCTACCCAGAAGTTCACGTCCATGTGTACAGTCTTTCTTAGTCGGGAAAATTCCATAATGTAAATGTATATCGCTTTGGGTCATGAACCTTAGAGGATCCTCCCGGACCATCCCATCTATAGTTTGGATTTAGATTCCTCTTTTGCTGGGACTACTGCACAGGTCTGCAGCGGTGGCTGTAGGTGGCAGCTGCAGCGGCGGCGGGAGGACCTTGCCACCTCGAAACACGGGGATAACTTTACAAAAGCACACGCCACCATGAGGATATCCACCACCTCTTGTCTGTGTCCCTTTCTGGTCTGCCTCTGTTTCATCCAGAGGTGCTCTGGGGCGAGCCATCACGTTCCTACCAAAGTGCCCTCCAAGAACCAGACCAAACTGGCTAATGGGGAGACGGAGGTGCACCACAGGCCTAAGCGTGGATGGATCTGGAACCAATTCTTTGTTTTAGAAGAACACATGGGACCAGATGCACAGTATGTGGGAAAGGTAGGGTTTTTTATTCAATTGACTGAAACGTGGAGGGGAAAAAAAAAAAAAAAAGGGGAAAAAAAAAAACTTTATCTCAGGGAACTAGCTTGTAAATGCTTACTTGACATTTTTCTCCCCCCCTCCCCCATTTTCTTTATTATTTTATAACAGTTTACAAAAGGAGCAAGCTGTTTTATTGCTGTGTCGGCATTATACATGTGCCCCCCACTACACCAAATCCCTTGTCTTCTGATGTGAAATATTCAGGTCTCCTTTGTAAAGGTGTGTAGTTCTGACATTATGATGTCCAACCAATTCTGTCATGATAATGTCCAAAAATGTGCTCTTCTCTGGAGTTAATGAGTGCCTCTCAGCATGCCTACAACTCTGGGAAGCCAGCTATGCGCAAGAGTGGATTAAGGCTGAAAGTGAGAGTAGCCCTCTACATCAAGCCATCTTTGAAGTGAAATATTAGATTTGGTTTCTCTGTGGGAAATAAACCCAGATTTGATCAGATGGTGGGAAATTAACCACTTCAGTAAGAAATTGGACACTAGCACAGTAAGCTGGGATGCCTCGTCGTTGGAAATGTTACAAGTGCCACCAGAGTGTCAGAGTGACTGATATCCCTCACAGTGGAAAACATAGTAGTGGGTGTTCTTCCTGGTTGTGCAAGGTATGATGCAGCCTAGTGTTGGCGTTTGGTTGTGACTTTTCTGTCAGCTCCACAATAAGCCACAGGGAGCTGGTTAAGTCCTCTGCTTGCAGATTGCCTGCCCTTATCTCCTGAAATGTGAAAATGTGTTTCTCCGCTGCAGTGATCATTATTCTAGGCACTCAGGCACAGACTAATCCTCAACTGCGCTCTGAGAAAAAGGGAATGAGAAAGGCAGAACGCTTCTCTGACTCCACATATGTCTGTATTTCAACAATGGTACTATTTGAAGGGGGAAAGAAAGGAAAGAGGGATGACATGCTTGGACAAAGGGTGAGATGGGGAAAAAAAAAGCATCAGCAAATATCTCTTTCAACCTTAAATGTCTGCTATTCGTGCCAATCTGGGATCTTTATTGTTGAAAAGTTTTCTTTTTTCCCCTAATATATTGTAAAATCCCACATCGGCACTCCCAGAAAACCAAAAATATATAATCCTTATCATCGATGAGGCATCGCATCCTTAGTAGAAGCATTAATAAACAATAGCTGCACCATATCTGGGGCACCGGTTTGTTGATGCACTTACTGCATAAACATGGTTACTTTTATATTAAATTTGTCCACTGCTTTGAAGTTCACGATTGTTAAGTTTGCTGACTGCTCTGTGCTAGATCTGCTGCTACCTTAAGGGTACTCTTGTTCTGTGTGTTCACTCTGTGTTTGTGTGAGTGTTTGTATATGTGTGTGTGGAGGGTGATGCTGATGAAAGCAAAGTAAACACAAACAGCTAATCCTGGATGATAATAAAGCACTGAGAAGAAACATAAACATTATTAAGGAGTCAATTTGACATGCATGTTTAAAGAGATGTGGTCTCCAGATGGTAAGCACAAAAACATTTAATTATGTGGGTTGAGACAAGTGTGCAGTGTCCTAATGTGGCCAGGAGACAGAATGACCCTTAATTAGACAAAGACAGGAGAGGAGGACGAGGAGGAGGAGAAGGAGGAGGAGGAAGAGGAGGGGGAGGATTAATGCACTTGGCAAATTTGTTTGTTTTTTTTTTTCCCTTTTCCCCCTTTGCTTGATTAAAAAACTCTGGACGTTAGCAAGCAGCAAATGAGCAGCTCCACTGCAGGGAATTGCCAACACTCATCTAAAAATGTAAAATTTGAAACAGACGTTCCGTGATCATTAAAAAATTCAGATAAAGTCATTGCATGGTCAAAACCCCCCAAAACAAAACAAAGAAAAAAACCAAAAAAAACCCAAAAAAAAAACAACCCGCCGCTTTGTGCTAGGACATCTACACAGTCAAACATACGTGTCTATCGCATTATAAGATTTGGCCTTTGACAGTCAGATACCTCAGGTGAACTTTTTATCAATACTTTCACATACGACAGCATAGAGAGACGCCTGGGAATAAGTGAAACAGCTAGTCTGTCAAGAACATTTTAATCCCCCGAGGTATCCTATAATCCCCAGTGACACCTTTCTGGGGGGGTTGATGCATTTGGAAAATGACAGCTTCGTGCATGAGTGAGACGCAAATGCTTGGCAGGGGACAGGGCTTGTCCAGAGAGTAGACAGGAGACAACCCATTCTCCCAATGGGAGGTGCGAATGTATCCATGTCAGTCAGCTCAGCAGGCTGCTTTGAAGTCGTAAGACGGGTACAGATTGGACCGTAATTTTTTGAAAATGATGGAAATCCCCAAACCCTGAATACAGTATATGAGTGAAGCTTCACTGACTACTGTGACGTAGTGGAAGCTGTTGGAACCAGATCCCCTAGTCAGGAAATAAAAAACTTCAAATGAGTTTCACTGGGTACGCGCCTGCCGCTAAAGTATACCTTAAATAATGCGATATTTGACGGAGTGGGAGCTCCAGCCCAAACTAGAGGGAGCACCAGTTGTCTTATCCTGTGTTCATTTGCAGAGCAAAGTGGCAACCTCTAAGATGGCTAAATGTTTTATTCATGCATCTAAAAATGGATTGTGCTTTGACAGAATCAGGCAACTGTCTTGTTGTATGTATAGTAATAGCGCAACAGTGCGAAGAAGAAGAAGAAAAATAGCAAAGTAAAGTTTTTACATAACATTTCTTTTCATCATCATTCTTCACAAGAGCGTTCAGATGTTTTCAGCATTAAACCATTGAAGCGTTACATGAAGTAACAAGAGAAATTTCACAGCCAGCATCTCACCATTAAGCTGCGCTGTTGGAAACTTTCTAAAAAGGGCAGAAAAATATTCAGCAACCACTGAGAAATATTTAGGGACACAGTCATCCGCAAGAGCGAGGATGTGTGTCTGTATGCATGCAAGAGCACTAAAGATGCACTTTTCAGTATTGATTGCACTAAAATTACTGTTCAGATGTTGATAAAACATGCACGGATCGACTGGCCACCTTGAGTTGATGTAGGTATAAATGTCAGCTGAGTTTGCTTTCAGCCTGATCTGTGACACCAAACTTGCAGAGCTGATAGTGCGCTATTAATGACATGTTAAAAGCTGAAATACCTTCGTCTTTGATGTCCCTGTTAATTCAAAACTGAAATATTTTCCATTCATATGCACATCAAATAGATTTTTAGGAGCTGCACAGTGAATAATTTAGAACAGCAGCATCATATTTATAGTCCTACTTGATTTATTTACAAATCAAGTAGAAACTTATCTGAAGCTTTCTGGGCCGCGTTCCAGGAAGCAGGTTTAGTGAAGAGTGTATTAACCCTGAGATGAGTGAAACTGAGTTTTCCTTTAAAAAGAAAAACTTAAACTTTGATTCCCTTAATGAAGCAAGAGACCAGGTCAACCTAACCTGCTCGCTGGCAAGCTTTCTTGAAAAAAACAAAAACAAAACAACAACAACAAAAAAAAAAAAAAACTTGACTCCTCCCCTCCTGATGCACCTAAGCTAAGCGATTGATATTTGGAGTCATTTCATCATTCTTCAGAGCGCATTAATTTGCATCCGTTTACGCTCAGGTTAGACATTAGCTTGTTATTTCCATCCGTCCATTTGTGTTCCCTCTGCCTATACAGTTAAGGGTTGCAATGTGACAGCCTATGCCAGCGGTCACAGGGCGAGAGCCAGGGTGCACCCTGGACAGGTCTCCAATCTGTCGCAGGGCTAACACACAGAGACAACCGTTCACGCTCACATTCACACCTCAAGTCCGTTTAGAATCAGCAGCTGGCCTAACATCAGTTCCTCTACACTGAAACATTTACTGTTTCCTATTGTAGGAATCTTTTTTTTTTTTTTTTTGGTGATCAGCAACACTCACAGATTGGATCTTGGAGATGATGTGAACATGAGTCATGTTTCTAAAACTGGATTAAAAGCAGAGTTTTAATGTTTCATCTTAAAAACATGCTGGCACGATGAAATACAGTAAAATGCTGGGCAACATTTTTAAACATATGTTGTCTGAAGTTTGAACCTCCACATCTCCAGGAAATCAACTAAATGAGTCTTACTGGTTCTGAAAGTCACAGACCTGTAAGTAAACTGGTTAATCCCACAGTAAACTGGGATTCCAGCTACATTTATTAACTATAATAAATGTAAAGTTGATAAATGATGACTGCATGGCACTGAATAAAACGACATCATCATCATCACCATCATCATCATCCACACAGACATGGATTCATATTCCTCCCTCCACTGGATTAAAAATTAAGGTGTTGCTGTTTATTTACAAGTTGCCATGGTGAATATAGGCAATAAGTTCCATTGATAACGATCCTTTCCCCCCCCCATTAGTCATGGATGCACTTAACTCCGGTGGAACACATTCACAGCTGTTTGAACCAAATCTGGTTAATGCAGCATCTTAAGTTAGACTCCTTGTTGAACAATTTGCTGGTTTTATTTACCAATGTTTGAGCAGAATCCTGTACTATAAAGGCAATATTTCACCCCGAGCAGGTAAATTATTTAATAAAATTTTATAAAATAGTCAATTATGATAAGTCTGTCGCTTACAGTGTCTGCATTTTTACCAGTTTTGCTTCCTGGCTTCAAATAGGTTTAGCTTTATTAGCACACACACGCACACATTAAAGCCTGGGCTGACTTAGATTCATGTCACGGCTTATTCTGACTGCAGGCATCAGGGTAAGTGAATATAGAAATCATACAGATTCTGTGGGTATGTTGAAATTGCTTTCCAGCGCAGGCCTCAGGTTTGGCTTCTCTGCAGGTAAACATGCGAAGAGCAAAATGGTAAAGACATTTGTCAAAATCCATTCTAAACAACTCGCTATAGTCTGACAATGATTTCACTTTATGAGGTTTGTTTTTTAAATTTATCAGAGTTTGTAAACACTGACTGGCAGGTAG